CTCGATGTGCTATGAGATGTATGTACTTTCGAAAAATCGTTCTCTGTAATGATTTTTGATGCAAGCAGGCTTCGACTTCATAGATCATAGAATCCCACCCCTGAAGGTCCTTGTGCCTTGAGAAAAGAGACCAGGAACGACGTGGCCTGGCTGGGAGGGTCTGAAGCCGGAGTGTGCCCTCCACGCCTGGGAATGGATCCCTCGGGTAATCGGTGGGGCACGCGCGCCCCTCCAGTGGCCTGAGAGTTCTCAGCAGCTGGACCTCAGGCTCAAACACCTCAGCCCTCATTTTCAGTGCCTCGGGCCGCAAGGGAAATCTGTTCAGGATTTTTGGCTTAATTATGCTACGGTGGTTTGATGTCGGTTTTTCTTTTCCAAGGGGCTGGGAAAATCTGGAATATATCAGAATCACCTGGAGGTAATTTAAAACCTTGGAGGTGCTAATTGCAAAAGGTATGCGGACGATTGTAATGAGCTACAAGGGCTTTTAAAACACTGCTAGGCGCTGCCGGTTTATCACCCAAGAATCTCAGGCCAGCCCGGGCAATAAAATTTGTCTTAAAAACAAACAAAGCAAAAGGCACTGCCAGAAAATAAATGGCAATTTTAAGAGAGAAATGCTAAAGGAGATTAGTTCAAAAAAGACCTCAGTATCAGTAGAACGTTTTTGCTAATTTTGTACTAATCCCATCGAATTACATTATTCCTACTCTCAAAAATGTGATCTCGGATACAAAAATGTGATTCTCAGTTACACTGTGGAAGAGTGTCAGAGATTAATATCAAGTGATTGACAAAGATTTTGGATCAATATACCGAAGTTGTACAAGGGTTTTGTGCTTTTGCGATATCTTGTACCTTCTATCCCAGGGGTCAGAACTTTTATTCTCTTAGCAAATTATTTTTAATTTTTGTTGTAAATCATAAAGATCTTAAATTAACATGAAAAACCACGAGGCCGGGCTAGTTGCAGGCCTGCTTGAACTGGCAGCTCCGGGATGCCTTGTGTTTTAAAAGTGTGTTGGGGCAAAAGAAAAATAGTCTAATTTTTCTTTTCAAAGATTATGTTTGGGCCTTCGGATACAAAATTTATTAGATAGCCCTGACTAGACTTCTCTGCAAGGAACAGTAAGTTGTAACTTAGAGGGAGTTCTAAATTTCTTTCAATATCTTGGACAGTATTCTGGGATATTCTAGAACGGGTAATAACCCCAGGGTGAACGGAAGCAAATAAGCAAACAACCTTATCCAAACACACCTATGCTCGACCTACACTTCCCTCATCTTACTATCCAAGGGGAGCGCGTTTACTTGCAGCTGTAAGAACTTGATAGGAGGCACCAACATGGCAACTCACAATTGTCTGTAACTCCAGTGCCAGGGGACCCGACACTCTTGGAAAACACCAGTGCATATAACGTAAAAATAAACTTAAAAAAGCAAACCTAGAAATGTGAAAACAAAAACAAAACAAACAAGCAAACACCAAAACCCAAAAAACAAACAAACAAACAAAAAAGCAAAAAAAAAAAAAAAGAACTTCATATGAAAACGAGAAATAGGTGAATAAAAAAGATTAACTATTGGAAGTGTAGGCGTGCAAGTTCCTTTGAAAGTAACAAAACTCCAGCTCTCCAAGTCGTGAGAGAAATCTCTAAGAACTCAGCCATTTTCTATAGAAAAGCTTGTGACAACAATTATGCTTTTTCCGGGTTGCTGAGGGAACCCGCGAACGTAAGAAGCGCCTTTTGAATGAAGTCTGGTGTCTCTAGTAGGCTGCTCTTGCAAGGTATTATGGGAAAAGAATGACCCCCCCCCAAGAAAAATTGAGAATGCGGGCATCGATCCCGCTACCTCTCGCATGCTAAGCGACCGCTCTACCATTTGAGCTAATTCCCCACCTGGTGTCATGTGGCTGCTGCCTTGCTCCCCCTTTGATATCTAGATTTAACTCACTACCAGCAGTTTCGATCCACCAAGTAGAGGTTTTGTTTGCTTGTTTTTTTTTTTTTTTTTTTTTGTGGGTTTAATGTTTGCTTTTAAAAGCCCAATGAAATCTGGACAAATGACAAAACTGAAATGGAGAAGGTGAGATATCGTATTCAAGAGAGTTTTTTTCTGGCTGGGTGTGGTGTTCCGTAATCCCAGAGCTTCAAGGAAGGAGGAGTCCTGAGTGAGGCAGGATAATTGCCCCTCTTGAGGCTAGTTTGGGTTACAAAACAAAATGAAGCTCAGAGGTTGTGGTTTGGTAGTCGCGGGACAGCCCCGGGTGACTTCCACCCTGTGCATTAGACACAGCACCGCCTGTTCTGCGCAGGTCACAGGGATGCGGACAGGGGTCCGGGACTCGCAGATCGCTGAAACATCAGTGCTGGGATTGGTAAGAAGTTAATTCCAGAAGCCTGTGTATAGACACCAGATGCCAGGTGGAAATTAAGCTTTCAACGGAGAAAAACACTCTAGTTCTCCCGCCGTCGAGGCTGGGCTTTGGCTCACTCCTGTGTCCTCATCAATCCTCAAACCCTCTAACTTCTAAGACTGTGTCCAGACATCGATCGACTCTTCCGTCCCTACGGTTCAAAACAAACAAACAACAAACAACAGCAAAAAACAAAGGGCTGACCTTAAGAAGCGAGCCCTTTGTTTTTTGTTTTTGTTTTCTTTTTTCAAATCACTGTCGGAGGTCACATAGCCAAGAGTGCGTCTGTATTGGTTAATCCTTTAGTTAATCCCTTTTGGTTTCTTTAGGCACGATTTCAAGGATTTTCAAAATTAGTGTTCCAAAGTAAATGCTGAAAAGCTGATAACTTGAGGTAGCCCTCAATGACCTTAAATTCACTGTGTTGTCGAAGATGATCCTTAAATCGTGATCTTCCTGCCTTCTTTCAGGAATATTTCACCACCTTCGGCTAGAAGTGCATACATATACGGGTTCAGACTAGAGAAGTCTTTGTAGAAAGAGAAAAGAAGTAATTGCTTTTTCATTCTGAGTGCCCCTTTTGGTGAACTTTCCGGAGAGTTCACCAAAAGAGACTTCCTCTTGTGAGCTTAAGGTTTATTTTTAAAATTCAATAAAATCGGAGCAAGATATTAAAAATCTAAAGGGAGAAAAGGCACGACATATTTAAGTCAGTGATTCTAGAGCCAGTTGTGACTGAATTGGAGGCCTGCGTGGGCTACTTCATGAATACCAGGCCAGTTGGAGCTAGAAAACCAGATCCTTTAAATATGAATAAATAAATAAATAAATAAGCAAATAGGAAAAGAAAAAAGAAACACACTCATCCTAAAACCTGATCCATGTCTCTCTGAGCTGTTCAAAGTGCACACAACACACAGGCCTTTTCAGAGCCCTAGACCCCAACACAGGCCTTTCCTGGCTCTTTATACCAACCTTAACTTTTGCTTGTTCATTATAGTCAGTGTTGACACAAAGAGAATGACTTTCAGCGAAAGGAAGCTCCCCCACATAAAAGATTTTAAATCTCAGATACTAACCCTTGCATTCCTATTTTGCTGAACTATCATTCCTCTCTTAGACACAGTCAGAAGGTGAGCCCATTCAGAAGGCATAGATCCACATGCTGGCATGACTACACTCAAGGTATGAGATCTTCAGCAGGAACAAAGCTTGGGCTTCTAGTAACACTGGATGGGGGGTTAACTTTCCAAACTGTCAGTTTCCAGGGGTACTGGAATATTTTACAACTCACACTGAAGTTTTGACAGTTGTTAAATGGTGCCACTTCCCGACTTTCAGGAAGAAATGCCAAGCTACGAAAGTGACCAAAAGTCATTGCTGTCCACAACCCACAACTGTCTTCCTCAGTTGTTTTGAATTTAATGCAACCGTATCATTTATCTAGCAAAACTCGACAGACCTAAGAGAAACAGGGCAGCACAGAACAAATCAGACAGGAAGGGCAGGGTACAGTGATATATATCCAGGATATATACCCATGAAACTATCAGTCTCACTATATAAAATATGTCAAATGTCTGAAGGGGATTACTTTAAAAAGTTACACCTTTAACATAACAAAATCGAGATCATATAGTATTACCAAGGAAAGGTGTAATATCTCCTTCGATAGCTCAGTTGGTAGAGCGGAGGACTGTAGTGGTGCTCCCTCATCTTTGAGGTATCCTTAGGTCGCTGGTTCGAATCCGGCTCGAAGGACGAGTGTTTTGAAGGAAACGTACATGTAATTCCTCAACAACTCTCCTGAAACGTATAAAGGTTAAGATATAATAATCTGTCCCACCTTCTGCGCTTTGCTCTTTAGACCCACCAGAAGTGCAGAGTGTCAAAGGTCTCCTAACCACAAGTCTTCACCTTTTGCCAGGAATGAGGACATAGGTGACAGACTGTGGTGGTCTCCTGTGGTTCGGCATCATCGGTCTCGACGCAAAAAGAATTTTATGAGTCCATAGTAAGCCTTCCCAAAAGCAAAACGTCACGAACCATTTCCCAGGTAAAGCCATCAAGTTCAGCGTGTCCCCAACACACCCTGCCCACCTCTGACAGTTCTGCGAACACAAACCTGGAAATGTGCAGTCCTCTCACTGGGGGCGGTAAAGGTTCGAGTGAGCGAAGACGACTAAAGGAGTCTTTCAAAATGACAGGTGATGGATGGAGTTTCACGCTGGAATCCCAGCAACTGGAGAGGTTGGAGCACGAGAATCTAGACACAGCTCGTAAAAATCTGAAGTATTTGTTTTTGCTGTTGATGTCTGCGCTTTGGTTTTTCTTTCTCAGAGGCTTTCTGGTACACCTGGCTGCTCCAGCTCCTTGCAGCCTTCCCTCACTCCCCACCTTCTCTCCTAGCCGAAAACTCTCTGGAACCATCGATGTTGCTGTAGGAGCGTGCAGACCTCCAGAAGCTGCCCACTCAGCCCCCAGCTCAGCCCACTCTACCTGCAAAAGATGCAGCAGCTTCAGTAGACGAGCGGAGGATCCCCATGAGAATGGTCTTGAAGGTCTCTTCAGAAAGTAGGGTAACCCTCAGGAAATTCCTTCTGGAACAAATATTCTCTTTTTTCCGCCAGCCCCGGCACGTTTGTCTTCAAAAGCTCTGGGGCTAGAACAGGAATCGAAGTGCAAGAATTCTTCACTTTAATTTTAATGTGATGATCTTTCAGTTAAAGTACTAGAAATATTTCCATAAACGTTACTTGCTCTCTTTACCTTTTATAACTAATACACTTTAAAATCTGTAAATCCCCACAAATCAATAAAAGCTTCCTAGATGGCTTCCTATGTTTTTCCCACGGTACTCATTGTTCTGTCTTAGGCACCAGAAAACTGAGTGGCACCGTAGGTGGTCGCTAGCTACATAACAGCATGCTTAAACATGCAATGATTAAAATGTATCACCTTTGAGGTATATGTTATGTTTTGTTTATTTGTTCCAGTATAATTGTTCAATATAACATGGGCCACTCCATTCCTAAACACATGCAGTTTTTGTCAACTTTATACAAGCTAGTCATCTGGAAAAAAGGGACTTCAGTTTTGAAAATGTCTCTGTCAGATTGGGCTGTACCCCTTAAAAGACTTTCCTGGCGGTTGTCTGCTTTTTAAACTTAATCACAAAGAAAACCACCAGCTATTTTTTATTTCATAAATCAACAAGCTGTTGACGCCTCCCTTCGATAGCCAGTTGGTAGAGCGGAGGACTGTAGGTGAATTTCTCTGGGTATCCTTAGGTCGCTGGTTCGAATCCGGCTCGAAGGAGGAACATTTTGGTTTGTTCCAATTAACAAAAGATAGTATAAAATACCAATATTTATTAAATCAATGGTCTGAAGAACTTTAGAAGTTCAGACCTACAATTTAAATGATGGTCTTTTAGAGATAAACATAAAAGAAAAATTTTCATACATGTCATAATTCATATATTCCATAAAAAATATCCCTGGATGACTTATTTTCCCCAATGGTACTCATTTTTCTTAGTATCAGGAAGCTGAATGCACCACAGGTGCTTGTTAGTCAACATGACAGCATTCTTATAAATGGAATGGGTAAAATTACTTTTTGAGTGTATGTGTAATGTTTCATTTACTTGCTCCACTACAATTGTGCAAACTAGTATGTTCACCCTTTTCTAGATCCATGATAAAGGCATCTCATGCATTTGTATTTTCCTTTGTCCAGAAAGGAGAATCATGCGCTTCTCTGGTGAAAGGGGCCTATGTTATCACTGTGGTGCTAAGGAGACTGGGAGAGTACAGCGGGGAACGTCAATAAAAGAGAATGGATGGTTCCGGTCTGTAAGGATTCAGTGCATGAACATTCCTAGGAGCATTATCGGGGGGGGGGGGGAATCTATATGAAACACTTATACATTAAAAAGCACACATCTCAAGCATGTTCTTAATTACCTGTTGTGTGATCACTTGCTAATTTACTTTTAAAATATCCTCAAAAACATTTCCTAAAAACATCAATTTTTTAGATGAATCAGAGGAATTGCAACAAATCCATCAGCTATTTTATAAGCCTTAAAGAAAACAACATTGTCTTCCTTCGATAGCTCAGTTGGTAGAGCGGAGGACTGTAGGTTGACATAGTGATCCTTAGGTCGCTGGTTCGAATCCGGCTCGAAGGAGAGGCACTTTTGAAACAATTTCACCAGCCTAGCTAGACTTCCAAGATTTTTTAAGAACCCTGTGGCAACCAACGTCATGTGAATATATACAATTATCAAAGTTGGGGTGAAATAAGCAAACATAATTCACAATCAAGTGCTGTTCAAGTTCAAAGAAACCAAGCAAGGTTTTCTTCAAGTTTCGGGAAGAAGTTTCTTTTCGAAATTCAGGAGTGTCTACAATGGGCTAAACCACGATTTTGCATGTTCATTCATTGGCTAGTCAACGATTCTTCACGATCCTTTACTATATCCATATTTTTAAAGTTAATTAAATTTTAAAAGTCTCTTGTAGCCCAGGCTGGTCTCCACCCCTCCCAAGAACTGATGATTACATGGTTGCCACCACTCGCAGTTGACTTGGTACTTAACGTGTATTTCCCTAACAATCCCAAGCACACACAAAATAGAGAAATAACGTCAGGTGTTGCCATTTAGCTACAGCGTTGAGACACCCTGGCATCGTCTTCACGTGTGTTCCTCCTCCAGCTCTCAATGTTTTGTAGTAACTCCAGCGTCGCCACTGCTGTTAAAAATTAAAAGCAGGGCTCTGTTCACCCCACACCCGAAAAGAAGCAGAGGTAGCCAACAGAAAGCCCTCTCCAGTGAAAGCAGCAAAACAAACTCACGATAAATCCAGGCTTAATTATTAGCCTTCAGATGCACCCGAGCTTTACAAATAACACCCGGGGCCTGACGACTGTTGTCCCGGATTCTGTCTTCTATAATTTTCGTGGCGATGGAGGATAAGAAATTATGTGGGGCCTCGGCGAGAGAACACTTAAAGCCTGGGCGGGCTCCTCCGCAAAGCAGGATACTGGTGGTTCACGAATTGCAGCAGCATCACTGGAGCCTCACCCGCTGGCCTCAGCAGTCTGGGGCACAGAGCTGCGCCGGTGCATGGCCCCGGCGCCGCAGGGCAGGTCCCATAGCAACACCTGCCGGCCACTTAGCGGCGCCGGCGACCAGCTGGTATGAGGACGGCGCCCCCTGGCGGCAGTGCCGAGGCTGAGCAGGCTACTGATCGAAGCGTGGCCAGAGAGCAGAACTGAGTGTTGCTACCCCACACCCTTCGCTCATCAGCTAGGAATAGAAATAGATTCGAGCACAACAGTAGGCAGAGAAAGTTCTTTAAATAATACTTTTAAAGATTTAAATACTCTGCCGGGCAGTGGTGGCGCACGCCCTTAATCCCAGCACTTGGGAAGCAGAGGCCGGCGGATCTCTGTGAGTTGGAGACCAACTTGGTCTACAGAGCTAGTTCCAGGGCAGGCTCCAAAGCAATACAGATAAACCCTGTCTGGAAAAACAAAACAAACAAACAAAAAAATAAATAAATATTCTCAGTTTATAATCACTAGAGGCGCGTTTAAAATTTAAAAGTACAACCAATTAAAGTTCCAAAATTACATGTGCAAATGTATAAACTGCTTCAAAAACTTTAACTTTAAAATGTTTAAAATTCAGTTGAAATTTCAAATAACCAAAAATTCAAAGCTCTGACTGAAATTTACCAACTGAACTCATAAAGCTTTTAAAAGAGGGGTTCTCCTCCCTCAGCCGCATTCGCACCATCGTCCTGGAATAAAATACTGTTTTGGTCTCCACAACATAAACTTTCCCAACAAGTTCTCCAAAAACCCCGCGAGACGCACCAGGACACGTATTTGGTGCATGCAGGCAGAAACATTCATATACATTAAAAAAACAATTAAAAAAAATAAGAATATTCCCCCAGAGCTCGCCTGAGGTCACGGTTGCACCTGGCGGAGGCGTTTCACAGGAACCTGTGGCTCCGCCTTAGTCCAGAGTCGCTCCTTTGGCCTCGCCCCGCCCCGCCCCGCCCCGCCCCGCCCCGCCCCAAACCCGGACTCTACCTCTGAACGTCCATTCTCGTTTGCATTGACTGCTCCGCTCCCCAGCAACTGACCACGCCACCTTTTATTGGTCTTCACGGGATTGTCCCATCCCCCACGCCACAAAACAACACACAGGAATTACGTCATAGGCCACCTTTAGTCCCTTTCCTCTTAGATCGGCTCGCAGGATATGCGTCATCGGGTGGCGACGGGTTTACGGCTGTCGTGCTCCCCATATCCGCCATCATGAAAGCCGCGGAGTTGGTGGGAGAGCAAAAGGCGCCGATGGAGGAGAGCGGCAGGAAGAGGCAGAGCTGGATGCAGAGGCGGCGGAGGAGCAGGAAGAGTCCGAGGAGGCGGCCTGCAACAGCAGCAAGAAGAAGAAGGTAGTGCCGGGAATTGTGTACTTGGGACACGTCCCGCCGCGATTCCGTCCCTTGCACGCCCGCAACCTGCCCAGCGCCTACGGCGAAGTGGGACGCGTGTTCTTCCAGGCCGAGGGTAAGCCCCCGCGATGACTTATTGCAGGCTGAGTACGGGTGAGGCGTGGGTTGTTGGCTTTTGGAAGGTTCCGACTCCCTACTGGCTGTTAAATTTGTGGCATTGATGTCTCTTGGAAGGCTGGGGCGGGGTAGGAGAATGGAGAGGGTGGGCGGATAGAGGCAGTAATAAGGCCCGAAAGATAGCCCTGATTTTCAGATAATCCCTGAAACAGCGTGTGATAGCCTCCGTCAGCCTCTTCCACCTCTTGACAAACACAGTTTGGAAACGGAGGTGGGAACTGGTGCGGCTATTGGTGTTCAGGGAGCTGTCATTTGAAGACAGGAATGAGTTAAGGAAAGAGTCTGCACCTTACAGGTAGTCCTTTTCCATCCACAGCTGTGAACTAACACCCGAGCTAACAGGTTTGAACTTCTGGCCAAATAGAGTGTGTCTCAGTGGATGCTTGACCAGGATGTTCCGTTGTTTTTGGCCCACAGACCGCTTGTGAGACGCAAAAGAAGGGCAGCGGCGGCCGCAGGAGGAAAGGCGGCTAAATACAGCAAGGACTATACAGAAGGCTGGGTGGATTCCGTGACAAGCGCATAGCCAAGCGAGTGGCAGCCAGTCTACATAACACGCCCATGGGTGCCCGCAGGCGCAGTCCCTTCCGTTATGACCTGTGGAACCTCAAGGTGAGGTTCTGCGTTTCTCTGCCACACTTTGATTACTCCCTCCAGCCCTAGCCCAGGCACATTGTCCCTCTTGCTAACTCCTAACAGCTCCCAGTTTCTTCTCCCGCTCTGGCTTTCCTGTCTTGACCTTTTCCTATTTTCTGGTCCACAGTATTTGCATCGTTTTACATGGTCCCACCTCAGCGAACACCTTGCCTTTGAGCGCCAGGTACGAAGGCAGCGCCTAAGAGCAGAGGTTTCCCAAGCAAAGCAGAGACTGACTTCTATCTTCAAAGTGTAGAACGGGGACAACGCTTCCTTGCAGCTGATGGGGATGCTACTCGCCCTAATAGCTCCTGGACATTTGCACAACGTCCCACAGAGCAGGAGTTGAGGGCCCGGAAGGCAGCACGGGCAGGAGGGCGGGAACGAGCTCGCCTGGCTCACGCCCAGGA